CTTTTGCCAGAGGTAGTTGAAGAACGGCTAGACTTGCTTTTCTTTTTATTTCTAGGGCATTTTGGAGAGTTTGAATGATGTCCAGCTCTATGACACTTTGAACACCTATGTTGAGATGATTTTAGAACAGCATTTACTACTCGAGCTAATTTTGCCTGGTTAATTCCCATCTGCTCAAATTGTAATCTCAAATCTTCAATCGGGTCATAGTCATAATCTTCTCCAGGTAAACTTGTATTATCTATAAACTCATCTAAAAAACGGTTCATAGCAAGATTATCTGCTTTTTGTTTTCCGGAACCAGGAGGTTTCTTCAAAGTCTGCTGTCCTTTAGCAATAGTTCCCTTCAAACCAGCTATAATTTTTTTGAAATCATTTTGTGAAAGCGTGATTTGATTAGACTGTTCTTCCTGAGGTTTAGAAGAGGTAGATTGTGTAGAAGCTATAATAGATTTTACAAAGCTTTCCATTTCATCTTTACTCATACCAGTATTACTTGTATAAGAGTCTTTTGTAGTAGATTTAGTTCGTGATTGAGAATCTGGAATATACTCACCTAGCATTTGCTGGGCCTTTTGTCTCTCGATTTCTTCTAATTTTGGTAGCAGATAAGAAATAGGATGTTCAAGTCCAATACGTCTTACTTCTAGTTTATTATCAGGAGAAAGTCCCTGAAAGAATTGTTGTTTAATCATTGCTTCCTGATTTAATGCTGGGAGTGTTGGGTAAGCCAGTTTAACCATTCTTTTTAACTTTGCATAGAAACGGCCTACAGGATCGGAGCCTTGAACAAGGGTAGTAAATACTAATTGTGATTTTTCTGCTGTAACTGTAGGATATGCACGTCTAAAATAACTTAATACTTGACCGATAAAAATATTTGGAGCTATAACATTACCTCCTGCATTGGCATTGGGAGCATTTGGAGCCAAGTCTGTTGGTCGCCCACCTGATGTTAGCCAATCTTCATGCCATACAGTGTGAGCTGGAACTAGTGGTATAGCAGGTGGATTCCCATCAGCTGGTGCAGTATTTCGAATTTGAAGAGCTCCACCTCTAAACTGATTAACATTAATAGCACGAATTTGATTATTAGTCAATCCACTAAGAGCATTAAGAGTTGCATGAGCGCCACAATTATCACTAATATTTTCCAATTCCCAGTTTTTGCCTTTGACATTCGTTTCATACCAGTCTTTTGCGTCATTCAATAGACAAGTTTCAAAAATACCATGAATTCTCCTTCGCATGTTATGACCTGCACCTGGATCATAATTAGCAGTCTCACACCATCGTTGAAAATCAGTAAGAAAAACCTCTGGATCTTCTCCAGCCCGCCCATGAAATTTTGGTGGTTCGTATCCAGCCATTCCTGTGTGTTGGTTATTAATAGGTAGATTATTCTGAAGCACTAAAATTTGCTGATTCAAATTATTAATTATTTGTTGGTTGGCGATATTTTGGGTCTGCTCATCATCTAAGTCTCCATACAACATATCAAGCTGAAGGTCTCCAAGCAATAGATCACCCTCTCTCGTTTTACACTTTCTTTTCCATTTTTTGTAACGGATTCTCATAAAATCCAACAAAGTAATGGCCCCATCAAGACTCCAACTCACAGCTTCTAATCGCTGGATTGATCGCCTATTCAGAAGCTGTAATGCAAATTTTTCATGCAACAATGAACTAATGCGCCTATCCTTTTGGGCTTTAACAAAAATAGCGTTTAACTTCCAAAAATTACGATGTTTTTCTATCTCCTCTATTTGTCTTTGAAAAATTATATTTTGCTGATTTAATAATCCAAGGTTTTGTTGTTGTTGGGCTACTTGAGCTTGAAAGGTGTCTCGTTCTTGAGTAAGCTGGTTAACTTGATTTTGAAGATCTCCATTTCGTTGTCTATAGCCATTAATATCATGCTGTAATTGTACTATTTGAGCATCTCGAGCATCTCGTTGATTTGCAATATTATCTAAATCCCGATCTATTCTTTGATAATTAGTCCGAATAGTATTTAAAGTACCATGCATACCTTGAACAATATTGGCAGGATTGTTTAATGGTGTACCATGTCCTCTGAAATGGTTTTCGAGTCGAGTTAACCCCCTAGTAATATTTGTAAAGGGATCTAAATGTGCCATATCTGTATCTTCCTCTTCTGAATTATATAAGCTTGGAGAGCTTCTTCTGGAAGAAATAACTTTGATTCTATGTCTCAGATTTTGAACTCGCTCTTCCAATTCTTGAAACTGTCTTTCTATATTAGCAATGTGAGATACCTTATCTCGAATCTCTTTCTTGGCATTATAGATTTGTATACGAAGGCTAGAGTTTTCTGATCTTAACTCTGCCCTTTCCTCATCTGAAGCATTCTCGAGCCGTTCCAGTTCTTCGTTAAGAGATTGGATTTCTTTCTCACATCTAGTATATTTACGCTCCAGCTCATTTATGTATTTCTCATTCGACCTATTAATTGAAACTTCGTTAGATAACTCATCTCTTAAAGCTTGATTTACCTGTTCCAGTTCCAATTCCCGATCAGAGCTTGGCCCACAAGATATTCGATTAGGATGTGGTCTACGAAATGCCATGATTATTTTTTACGGCATATTATATTGACTTATCTCCCGACTTTGCTAAAACATAATTTATAGTGAAATGTATCAAAATGAGCCACTGCCCCTCCCGGTCTCTCGCAAGTTTTTTCGCATCATCTAGAGTTAATCTTTTCGGCATTTTTATAATATAGGCTCGAAGTTTAATTCATATGTTTTTCGTGATTTCTATAGCATGATAAATCGAAAATGGAAGAACCACAGATAGTTATAGATTCATCGGAAGAATTATCTTTAGTTTGTCGGTTATTGTTCTATCAACCAACTGGATACCATTCCAATGCTCGAAAGTTGTATGAAGATCTCAAGAATGAAGGATATCGATTTCCATTCAAAAAGGTCCGAGACTGGTTGCACAAACAAAGTGCCTGGCAGATATATTCACCGCCCCCGAAGCAAATACAGCGAGCCAGCTACGGCAAGATACAAAAACCTAATACTGTACACCAGGCCGATTTATTATTCCTTACCCATGATAGAGTCGATGGCAAAACCTATATAGCAGTATTAAATATAGTGGATTGTGCATCAAGAAATAAGGCCTCAGTTCCTCTCACATCGAAGAAAAGTTCGGAGGTTGCCAAAGCATTCAGAAAAATTTATGATGATCCGAAAAATCCGCTAACCTGGCCTAAATTACTAACTGTTGACGGCGGGGGTGAGTATAAGGGTGAAACGAGCCGGATAATGCAAGAACACGGCGTAGTAATTCGAGTAATTGGTGCATATAGCCATCGAGGACTCGCAATTGTAGATAGATTCTGTAAAACCCTTGCGGGGATGCTCTATAAAATTCAATACAGTGTCGAACAAATAGATTCTAAATCTCGGCTGGTAAGAGCGTGGGTTAAGTATCTTCCTCAAGTGATTGATTACCTAAATAATTATCCAACTCGCCTTATTCGAGCTCCAGGTTCTTCGAAATGGGGGTTGGCACCTGCAAAGGCAATCATGTTAGAAAAGGTCGAATCAAAACCAGCAATAAAACCAAAACGCCCAATTGGGAAATATGAGGAGAATAGGTTAAAGAAGGGTGATACAGTTCGCTATCTATTAGCTGATGGAGAATGGGAAGGATCTCCAGGTTTGGAACAGAGGCGCGCAACGGACCCCATGTTCAGTCCGAGTCTTCATAAAATTCGCAAAATCGTAGTATCGAAAAATGAACCTGTATTATATTATCTTGGAAGTGATGATGATGAATATCCTCCAAAAAGGGCATTTGTGAGAGAGGAGCTCATGCACGTATTTCCTGAAAAAATCGAATATCCACCCCAGAGCATACTGGAAGAAAATACTCGCTCCAAATCAATTAATTTCGTTCGTGCTATTAATAAAATGGCTAAAGCTCAGGCTTATGCTAAGAAGCGTGGCGGAAAATGTCTTGGCGTAATTTGGCGGATAAATGGTTTAAATGTATATCTCTGGTCATGCGAAAATGGACTTCACCAGTGGGAATATCCATATCCATTGATTGCGAAGAAATTTGAGTGGTGCCCCCTTTGCCATCACACTAAAGAGCGCAATTGTCGATACATTTTTGAGGATCTGTTAGGTAAGAAATTTCCACCGTGTTCGGATAAATTTTTGGATGGATTACATTTAGATGGTTATAATAAGGAATTACACCTGGCATTCGAATTCCAGGGCGTCCAACATTTTCATGTTATTCCAAAACACTTCCACCCCAATGGCAAGGCTGACCTAGATACACAAAGAAACCGTGATCAAAAAAAGCGAGATATATGTAAAAGAGAGGGAATAGATCTTATTGAAATTCCATACGATTCAGATATAGAGTCCTATATTCGCACTACTTTGATTGAGAAGGGATATTTACCCACTTCCGATTCTTAGAAGAGCTAGCTTTATCAATACATTCGATATAATTTTCTTTTTATATAATAAACAGATCTATAAAGATAAGTAGCAATGCCATATAATAAACTATATCCATTAAACTTACCAGAAATACTAACCGAAATTTTCTCATACCTCGCTATAGATGAAGCACTATACCCAACCTTATTTGTTAACCGGTTGTGGTATTTATGCTCTGCTCCAATATTATGGAGAAAGGCCGAATTTACCGGTGATCTAAAAAAATCTTGTATGCAGTGGAGTAAATTCAAAAAGGTAATGCGTGGGGATCAAAAACCTCATGCTTCATATTTACTTCGACTTCATCTCTATAGTTGTAAGCTCTCTAGTGGTGTACTATATGAGATCGCTAGATCCTGTCCCAATTTACGTAATCTAAATATCAAATGGTGTTGTGGTTTATCTGATAGAGTCGTTAGTAAGATTGCACAAAATTGTCACTTGGAATCTCTTAATATATCATACAATAGTAAAAGTATAAAACGATATAGCAAATGTAGTAATATGAAGGATACAACTTTATGTAAAATCGCTCATTTGTGTCCAAACCTACAGTATCTGAAACTTAGCTCCTCTAAGATAACCGATATATCATTACTAGAAGTTGCTTATTCATGCACCAATTTACGATATCTAAGTTATGGTTATAATGAACACATCACTGATGCATCTATAATTGAGATTGCACAAAATTGCCCATACTTAGAAGATCTCACTTTATGGAAAAGTGGTATTACTGATGTATCATTAAAACGAATCGCTGAATTATGCCCGAAACTTCACACTCTAAGTTTGATCGTCTGTGAGAAAATAACTGATGATGGGGTGTGTGCAATTGCTTCAGCATGTCCAAATATGAAAAGCTATATGTTAATGGCTTGCCAAGGAATTACCGATATATCAGTTAAAAAAATTGCAAAATCCAATCTAAATCTCAGATATCTTGATCTTGTTTGCTGTTTCGATGTTTCTGATGAATCTATTTGCGAGATAGCACAGCTTTGTCCTAAGCTCGAAGGACTTCAACTCCAACATTGTAATATTACTGACGCATCTATCCAGACAATAACACATTCATGTCACAATCTACAGAATCTCAATATCAAGAATTGCTATTCTATTAGTGACGAAGCCATTAATACTTTAATAAGCAGAAAGCCTAATATCAATATTCCTGGCTGGAATCCGGTAGATATAGATAGTGAGTCAGATAGAGACGTCTAATCTGTGACTACCTTTAACAATTCATCAGAATAAAAAATCTGGCAAATATGTGTATATAGCAATAAATATCATTATTTTTCGATATAATATTTAGTATTATTTAGCTTAATCAATATGAAAAAAATGCGATTCATTGTATATAATATTGATGAGATTAAAAACGCAGAAAAAAATAATGGGCATGAAGCTGGACCTCGATGGCCTTTTAAGATGCTAGTCTCAGGGCGAAGCAATTCTGGAAAAACTAATATGGTTCTCAATCTCTTACTCGGAGATAAGCTTTATCGGATGTTCAATGGAAAAAAGGGAGGATGTCGATATATAAAAATGATGATCTTGTTCTTTTTGGTCATCACCTCAAGGAACCGAAGTACTTATATCTCCAGGATTGTTATAGGATAATTGCTAATAGCCCAAAACCACATTATGAAAATATTACATTTCGGGCAATGAAGCCAGATAAAATTCCAAAGGTAGATGAATTCTCTCCAACAAGAAGTACAGTAGCCATATTCGAAGATGTATGCACTGAATCTAAAAAAGTTCAAGATAAAATTACTCCTTATTTCACTGAAGGGCGTCACTCCAATATTAGCTCTATATATATTACACAATCTTTCTTCGACTGCCCAGGGATAATAAGAAAAAATCTGGATTACATTGTACTTTTTAATGGGAGTTGTAATACAGATGACCTCACGAGAATTCTTCGTCGGTATGTTAATGATTGGCGTAATGCTGTTAAAGTCATCGATAAATATTTACACGGTAAGCAATTTATTGTTATTGATCTAACTAGAGAAAAGGACGATCCATTATTTATACGTGCCGGATGGGACCGAACCCTTGATCTTTCTAATGAGTAGAGCGAGATTTCAGATATTCAAGGTATTTTTCTGCCTGTTGTAATTCTATCTTCTTTTCTTCAACCTCAGATCGCAATTTCTTATTGGCTTCGACCCGCTCCTCATGCTGTTTAGTGATTTCTAGCATAAAAGAACCAAAAGTTTTTTCATTATATTCAAGTAATCGTCGACATAAAATATCCAGCTCTTTTTTAACCCGGTGATTTATTTCCTCCTGGTGATCACATGTACAAATCGGGACAGTATCTTGGGTTTGGGATTCTTGGTTAACCATGTTTATATTATACGATAAATTTTCAAGTGGTGATGAATTTTGACGTGGATATTTTAACTTTTTTTGATATCTATTTATTTCGTGTCTTAAAAATGACTCAACCAATGGATTCACTTTGCTGGCTTCCTTCTCCGTCATTGGATTTCGCTTGCGGGAGATTAAACGAGTCCAAGCTTCATATGCTAGTGAGGGTGGCAATTGACGAATCAGATTTGAATATGCTTTATTGAATTTCATGATATATAGTATCCAGAAACAATATTGTATTTTACATTGCAGAAAAAATTGGAATCTTTCATGAAAATTATGAAAGGTATATCAAGAAAAAATAGCTATTAATCATCACGAAATAGCAATAAATAAAGTCTAAAGTACTAGCCCTCTAGGAATACCTTAGGTGGTTTTATTTTAAAGATATATATATATAAATAAGTTATATAATTAATAAATAGATTAAATCGAATAAATGGATATGTGTTACAATAAATTAAGCTATACATTGTTAACTTGACGCATCTCTTCTCGAACTGCCCATAATAATTTGTAGTGTTGAGCGAGTTCTGTAGCACACATTCCGTCGGGTCTGTAGAAAATTTCTAGTCACTTCTGTTGTATGATTCTACATGCTCGATCTTTCTTTGCAGTTTCTCGAATATGTTTAATCTTTCTGATAAGATTTTCCATTCGCAATTCATATCGATAAATAGCTAATCTGGTGAAAATATCAGGGTTGGTCTCTTGTTTAAGTTCCATATATTCTTTGAAACTTATATCACAATATTTATTTCCAGAACATTTTGTACGCCAATGCTCTTCCATCTTATAATTGTGATATGATTTATATCCTACTCTTTTATCGACATAAACAAACTGATCACAGCTATAACATATAGCAATGTTCGTTTCAACATAAAATCTATTGTTATATCCTTCTAAAGGTTCATACTTTCTTGCAATAAGATATCGCTTCTTATCACTACCTAGGCGATTATTGTTTCTATAGAATATTAACTGATCCCAGATTCTTTTCTTCCAATCAGATGGGGTTTCTCCATCGAGCATTACTGAGAATTGACAATTATCTCTCCATTCAGTATCGCTTAAAACTGGGCATTTATCAGTATAGACCATATTTAGCGATTAAGTGATTTATAGTGTTTTTAGAGATTATGTGATTTATATCGAATTTAGGGATAGACCTATTAGATTTTATCAACTATATGTATGAATATATCGGATTCATTTTTTGTGGATTTAGGTTTATGCTTAAAAGATAAAGAAGTTGTTCAGTGTGTAAGGGTATAGAATCAAGACTATCTACGGTTGAGAACATTGTCAATCTCTCTAGCTCATTATCTTTTAGCTCTTTAGTATCTAACTCGGATAGAAACGCTCTATTCCTCAGATCTAGCTCAAAATCATTTCCAATTCATCGATATAGTTATACATAATATCGATTTTATAGGCCTCAATTTCATGCCCAGAAATACGAGACATATGTCTTTAGAGCTCTGAAGAGTTTCGGATGTTATATTACCAATACTGGCTTATGTCGAGTAGTAATTTTTGTATGTATTGGGTAGGATGGGTTCAGAGTATCTGTATTACTGAAGACAGTCACAGAGTGGTTATTTTTGTGATATAATGGATCTTTCAGAGAAGGTGTAAAGTGTGGGGAGTAAAGTTTCTCGAGTTCAGGCATTGCTATTTATATAAAAAATTGCTCGTATATATATTGTATATATATTATCCAGTATAAACAATAATTAATTGAGTATATGAATCAACTTCCGTGATTGTTACATGAAAATCTATTCCAGACATGTGGAATCTATTTCGGGCATATGAAATCTATTTCGAGCATGTGAGATCTATTTCGGATGTGCTACAAACATCGTGCAAACATGATTTAATTTTCCGGTACGACTTGATGCGCCCGATAAATAACGCGTGATGCTTATCCAGCAAAAAATATATACTGTATATTAATCATCAGATCATGTCATATAATCAGTGGTCTATGCTTTCACAGTTACTATTTGGATTGGATTCTGATAATTTTCCCAACAATTGAGACGATAAGTTTTTGTATTAACATAATCCCCACCACCCCATTCACCCTTTATATTATCTCTTATATTTTCTTTTTTATGATCTTTATTGCATAAAGGGCAGGATACTGAACTGTTAAAATAATCGCCAGATTCATTACTATATTTCAAAGATAAAACGGGAAACCGTTCCAATGCCATTTTGATAACATGTTTTTGTTTCTCTTTCGGATCGTCAGGTAAAATAGAGATAGGAGGTCGAGATACAAGTGGTTTATTAACATTGGTTTTTGTATCTGAAGGCAATACATTTATCTCAGTTTCCGGTAATACTTTCTTGGCTTCTTCACTCGCCTTAATTTTCAAATCGACAGAAACGGGAGATAGATTTACCTTAGTGTTTGATATATCATTTGTGCTAGATGGATCTGGCATATGCGCGTGACAATTTGTCACGCCGATCACTTTTTGGCTATTTGTATCAATCGACTTCTTGGAAAAATCGTTTATAATATTTTGAATTTGAATATCCTTTAGACTTGAGATAGCACTTGCGCTATAAGTCACTTGACTAATTTTATCTATTCCTATTCCTTCGTATAACACATAGACTTTTTTAGCTCTGGAAGTTATTTTATGCAAGTTTACATCAGTAATATCTGGAAGAAGCAATTTGATTTCATTATACACAATCGTTCTTGCTGATTGGTCATCAATATCATTCGCAGACTTAACATCACTGACACGGTTTTCGTACGCTTTATAATAACAATACCAGCACAAACTTTCTTTTTGTCGAACCTTCATTGCTACCCTAAATAGATCAACTATATTTTGTGATGTGACCTTACTAGATCCTGTTAAAATCGTTTCTAAAGTGAATTCAGGAATCTGAATATCAAATACTTTACTAGACTTATTATTATTCTCTTTAGTGCAAATAAATAGCTCATGCCTTAAACCTCGCTCTACTTTTTGATTATAGGGAATTTTCTGATTGGATAATAGATTAGCAGATGATTTAGACTCTGAATAAGAAAGTTTCACTTCAGGATTAGAATTTTCATTATGGATAGAAGGCAATGGAGGGGAAATCAATTCTTCTGGAGAAGTGTCTTGACTTCCTGAAGACACCTCTTGATCCCGAAGTTTCTTTTCTTTAATAATCTGGATAATCTCTTCACTTACCCTTTCCTTACACTTTAAATCCAGGAATTCATCGATCTCCTCATCTTCCAATGGTTTATGAGTCTTCGACTTCTGACATACGCTGGAATTTGAAGCAATATCAGATATATCAGATACTGGAGTATTCTCATTTTGTGGAATTATCTGTTTAGGTGTGTTATCGGAATTCGATCTACAAGAAATATTGACTGTACCACTGATATTAACCGAAGATTGTTCTTTTGGGATGAATACATTTACCTGTTTGGTTTCCCCGGTATCATCTAATTTAGATGTGAGAGCATCCTCACTTTGAGAAATAATAAAGTTACTCTTTTCTTCAGATCCGATAGTATCCCCACTCCGTGAGTCATTTTGTGGTACCATTTGTTCCAATTTCATAACTCTGGATCTAAGCTCAATGTTTTCTTTTGCGGATCGTTCTAATTCCACAATTCTAACTTCAAGCTCATTTTTTTCTTTCGCGATCTGCTCCAACTCCGCGATTCTAATTATAAGCCTGGCATTCTCTTGTTTTAACAAATCTAGTTCGGATTTTGTGTTTCCCATTGTTTTATAAAAGATATAGATATGTTCAAAAGTTTGAATAAATAAAAATCATGTATGCGTGACAATTTGTCACGCCGATCACTTTTGCCAAGAAAAAAAAATAATATAATTAACCATGATGTAACACGTGATCGAGCATTGATTCATATAGGGAAATCTTTATTATATATAATACTTTTTTGGGAACTACGCCACGAAAAATTACATGATATTTTTGTAAATAAATCAGCAGTATTTATTATACCGTGCAGTTAATCCTTCCTTTGCGCGCTTTACATCTTTTAACGCATGAATACATGAATATAGTATGAGATAAATGTTAGACCTCTTATTGCTAAATATCTCAAATTAGATGTAATGATCACACATACCTATATTCGTTCTTCTATGATTTTTTGGTTTCGTTACATTATCTCCAGAACCTAGCGTCGGAGGAAGATATTTTGGTAGTGACGAGTTCCCATCGCTATTATCCCAGTCCAACTCATAATCAGCAAAAAGAGAGCCAAACTTTCGTTTTTGTTTAATCACCGTATTGTGGATATAAAAAACGACGCTATGCCGAGTTCCAGCGACAATTGGGAGATTCCCATGAATCAAAAGGTTCGATCTAAAGGCCACCGCTTGCCCTTGTTTAACGTGGACAACCAACTTCAACTCGGGAAATACCAATTCTCCTCCTTTGAATTTCCCAAGCGGGCAAACCACACAGAGGGAGTTTCGATGATCCTTCATATCCCGATGGAATTGGCAAATAATATTATAATTAACAGCAACCGTCGGAAAAACACCAAAAGAGTTCGGAACATTCGGCCCAAGATCAAGTTTCTTCATCTTAGAATATAAAACTGGATAAGTGGTTTCGAGATACTTATTAACTGACCCAGAAATCGGTTGAAGCCCTTTTATCAAATCTTGAACACATTTTTGATGTGCTTTGTGATGAGAAGAGGCGGTGTTTGTTGTGGTGTATGGCATATTGTTGCTGTCGGTAAAACATCCAAAATGTTCTATCAAATCAGATTTAAATTGCTTGGACTGGTGTGTGGGATCATCGAACATATGTTTACAGTATCTGTCTACAACCGCTTCTGATTCCCTTGCAGATATTCTACCAATATCAAAAAAATCCACCACACTTTCCCCAAAACTGTTCGCAAAACATTGCGGATTAAAAACGTGCTGATACCCCTGAAGATTGATACCACTTGCAATGATTTCTGTTGTTTCTTTAGCAATGTAAAGTTTATCACTCGGGTGGCGTAGAAATGTCTCGTGGATATTACGTCCTTCTAACGGCTTCTCTTGGGCCCCCACATGGTGATAAATACATTTCACTTGAGACCAGAGACGACGACAATGGTGACGAAAGTGTTGATTAAAATTAGGTCCAGCGAAAAAACATGCCCATAAGGCGAATTCTTTCCACAACTGTTTTTTTTTCTGAAGATTCCTTGGAATGGTTATGCTCCACTTGATCCGCTAGAATAAAGATCTCTGATTCGAGTAAACGCATAAACTCTTGGGGTATCGCAGAAGAAGTTGGAATCACTTGGACGGTTTGGGGTGATAAAGACTTCTTTCTAGTATCATTTCTGTATAAATTCTCCTGAATTGCGTTCGAAACTATTTCGAGATGGTGGTTAGATAGTACAGCAAAGTCGAGTATATAAGTACTGGTTTTTATAGCATTGGATGGAAGTAAACCCTGGTTGAGCAACCATCGAACAACTTGTCTCTGCCGTCTCTTCTCAAGAAACTTTTCGAGAAAGGTAAACTGGGGATCCAAAAAGGTAGCAGGTTGTAAAACTTTACTCGGTTTAAGATCGCTAGCAAGAAAATCTTCGGAAATCCATTGGGATATAATATATTGACGAGTTTCATTTTCCGTTAACTGGCGAGTCTCCAGCTGAGTTTTATGCTTTAAAATAATAATAGGGGATATAAATTATCTCTAAAAATATGAGGCAGATAAACATACAAATTATTTCTCGTCTCGTAGCTCAGCGGTCTAAACCACGGTAAGCCTGTGTAATCTTTCTCTCCTCACTACGCCGACGATAGTAATTTGGCGATCTCACCTCATCGTACCATAAAAATATATCGAACCATACCCGCTAAAAATACCTATAACCACTAAATACTCACTTTATCCGGATTGTAGAAAATCTTTGCTCTTTTGTTGTCCCGCTCGTCTCGATTATCGTTGCTAGTATCGTAGATAGAGACAGTTTTTTCATTTATCGTCGCGTTAGTACACTTTCCAAGCTCCGCTTTTTTGGCGTATCGTACTAGCTTCTTGCGCTGGTTTTGTTTATACGCCTTTGAGGGGGTCGGTCCGTTTCGTTTACTGCTAGATGCGTCCATTTCTTACTTAATTCCTCTTTATAACCCACAATATAACTAACGGAGAAAAAAAGGTCTTGGTATATTACTATTTTCTGGAGAAATCAAAAGCAACACTATTCGACGAGCCGTTAAGGTCAAATAACCCTAGAGCCGAGTCCTACTCAAGAAGAATAGTATTACTTTCACAGAAAAAAGAAGCGTGGGAGCGAAGGTAACCAATCACAGATAATCGGTAGGAGTGTATATATGGCGATTACCCAATCATGATGAGGCAACTGATAATGCGTCGTTCTATATCTGGGATAATCATTGCATGATCTATTTCGGGGTGAAATCTATTTCGGGATGTACTACAAGCATATAATTAATTTCCCGGTGTGACTATATGGGGATGTACGACTTAATACTCTATCATGTGCCCGATAAATAACGCGTGACGATAGTTTGAAGAGTTTGAATCACGAAAAAAATGACAAAGTTTGTAATTATATATGATATATTAGCCACCAGGGCCAGTTTTATTGATATGGTAAAATACAATGATTAAAATACAGGATAAATATTAAGTATTAGGTGGGGGCGAAGATACTGTCGAACTACCTTCATCACTACCACGCGTTCTAGAGTTAAATAGCAAAGACAGATCAACGATCAAGATTCTCTGCAAAATAAAAAAGTTAGTGAATGATGCAAAATAAATGTATGAGAATATAAACGAATACATACTCGTAGCAACAACAAAGTCTCTACAAATTCAAATACAGCTTTTTTGTTATCTGTATACTGTGTCGGGATATCTACAGATCGTAAAAGAAATAGACGGCTTATATCTTCATGATCTCGGATAAGAACATATAGATTAAACTTTTGTCCAGCAACTTGGAACCCAAGAATACCGAACTCATTTTCAACCAATCTACACCCTCTATTCGCCCAATATAAGCCATCATTAAGTTCCCGCCACAGTTTCACTCTATCATCTTCTTCTTTGGTGCCACCACAAACAATACGTGAACATTCGGCAAATATTAATTCATAGATTCTATCCTCATGCTTAACTATGAACATAATATCTGGACGTTTTCCTCTTTCACCTCTTCTGTCTTTGCTAGCCACACTTTGACGTTCTGCCCTATAATATAAGAAATGTAAATAGAATAATACCCTTAGAAGAAAAAAATAAGAAAGTTTACTCACGTGCTGATATATGCAGATTTTCCGATTGGTAGATCTTTTAGTGTGGCTCGAATGATAGGGACAATAATATCCGTCACATATGTCCCCTCACTTTGGGTTTTAGCGAATTTAGGGCTAAAAGCTGGGTTTTTCCAAATATCACCCCTATAGTATAAAAAATAAATAGTATATAAAGTTACGAATGAATTAATAATAAATAGATCCAGTATTATACTTACAGAGTTTCAAGAATTCTAACTGTGATATTCCTAAGAACCTCTCCCCTCTCCCACCAATTTACATGTGAAAGTTTTTGAGGGGGAATCTCCATAGTACCATCGTCATAGTTTGATACGAATTCATCGCATATTGGTTTGATTGAAGAAGGTGGAGGTGCTTGCATGTATTTTACCGGTTCCTAGTAATATATCCATTTTAAACATAATCTTTATCACACAAAAATGAATTATTTTGTTCTTACCATGAAAGACTCATACTCTTCTTTCGGTAATTGCTTAACCATCTCCATTTCACTACTAAGAACCTGACTTGCGAGTGGATCGCGCCATGAAAGTTCTGAAGATTTAACCTTACCTACACATTTTCGTAAAGATTTGGCGTATCGAGCTTTACTTTTTTTAAGGTTGCCCTTCAATATTCGCAAGTTATTTTCAATCTTCTCGGTGGGTAGATCTTCTTCTTGTCCTGCAACTTCAAAATCGCGGAGACTACATACTCCTTCAAAGGCATCATAAAACTAGCGCAGAAGAACTTATGTTAGATCTAGTTGTTATATATAATTATACCAAAAACCGTGTGCGCACACGTCAGATTTCTATCATGCAAAATTACCAACTATGTGTGGCCAATACATAGATAATAAATCACATGATACATATATTCTTCTGAACTGAGACTCAAATATACCCCCATGCGTCTGAGGATCAATACGTATAACGAACAATCCTGGGCTTACATGGCTTTGGATATGACTTCGATTCAGTTACCAGAATTTTATTCTGCGCTAATCATCATATAATCGAAATTATTTTCTAGCAGTGAACTTCAACTATTACCTTCAACGGCAATCCAAGAAGCTTTCGGTGTTTGTCTGAATCGGGCGTGTATGAAGGCAAAACTGCTGAAATTGATTGATGTAATAGTTGTCTTAAAGTTTCTTTTGCAATCCATGCTTCTTCGTTCATTACTTGATAAACCACCAAAAACGCTGTAATATGCTCTGGGGATGCGATGCGAAGAAAATTGCAAATAGTGTCATATAATGTAGACATGTTTACGTATGCTAGAACAAAGTACAAGTAAAAACGACGAACAACCACAACGTAAATATACTGTCCTTTTAAAACGTTTTCGCCCACCCATTTCTGTCTCATTTAGGTATGAGTACAGTAGCTTTAGGGAATGTGGAACTGGAGCGATGCAATGCACAGCGAAAAACTTTTCACAAAGAAAATGCATATGCCACGAGTTGGTTAATCGGATTTAGAATTTATAGTAACAATCAGCAGGTCACACGATTACATCATGCATGAAAAGTTCCATGACCTTCTAATTTATTCTGTGATATAACATGTGATATATGTTGATCGAACATCTGTGACACGTACTCAAAATCTCACCCATTAATCGCCGGATAACTTTCCAATACAAGATAATTGACTAATATATGTAGGGCATAATTTGTTTTTGTTTCCTTACTGAGATTCGGAAAAAAATCGAGATAGCGGGAATAATTTTTCCAGATCTGTAAAAGTGAGACCAGAAAAATCGCGTGACAAAAAAAATCACGCATTATACATTTATTAAATACTTTATTAGCTTCGCTATTTCGATATTGATACAAAAATAAACTAGATGAAGCGTGAGTTTGAGCTCACGGGCGCAGTATGTGGCGCAGTAACTGTCGTTAGGATCCTCCCAAAACTTTTGAGATTACATGATCAATATCATCCGAGCTTAATCTAGAGATAGATGATGCTGTAAAAGTTTTAACCTGACTTATTTTTTCTTTACCAACCGCATCAAAAAGCTTATAAAGTTTTCTGGCCTTTTCAGTTCTTTTACGAAGAGCCTCCTTTGTAATTTTGTTAGGAATCTGAGTACGTAGCTCGAGATTGAGAAGAGCTCTAGACGCACTACTATTATGAGTTTTTTTAATTTCTTTATGTCGTTCTTTTAAAGCTTTGCCAAAGTCAAAATACCGACTAATTACTTCTCGATTCGTAGTATCATTTTTCGATTCAGCATGGGTGATCATACTAAAGAAATATAAAAAATTATGAGGCTGGGATTCACCACTGGATTTTTCATTACTCCCCTCTTCAGAAATTTCGGAAATATCGGCGGACAATTCTTTGATGAGTCTTTTCAGAACACCGGATTCTTTCTCTTCTTTCTCATCTTCACGAGGTTTTTTGCTGGGCCTGACTTCCATTTTAGCCATATTAATCTCGTTTGCTTGAAGTAAAAATTGCGGTTCTGAGCCAGTAAAAAAATTACCGCAATCAGGGCAAATTGGGTCTGGTTTATTTACAAGAAATTTCTCAACACATGTTCGATGGACCACATGCCCGCAGGTTAAAATAGTAATCGGTGTAGGGGGTGTCGAAAGAATTTTGCCTTTACAGCATATACAGGGTTTCTGTTCAGGAATTGTGATATCATTGAACTTGATTTCGTCGGATTGTTTTAGTATATTTAGTGCGAGGATTTTAATTGATTCATTGCGATATAAATAAGTAGAGGCTATTATCTCAGCTTCGGTCAACCGCTCTCGTGAATCCGCATTTTCGATTTCAGTCAACTCCTCTAGCGAATCTGTGGTTTCGAATTGGGCTTCTGTAAGATATTCTGAGGGAGCGGGCGAAGTCTCGCTGGCCATATTAGATGGCTTAATAAGTAAATCCCGAAAGCTAAGTATAATTTGTTTTTATATAGTATATTTCTCGCCATTAATAAAACCAATTTCAGATATTATGAAAACTAATTTCGGATTTGGTGATCCGTTCATTGATAAATTAATTGCTTTGGATCGGAATCACTTAATTTTTACAGGTAATCGTAGATGATTTCAGCTGAAAAGCAAAGATTAGCATTAATTTCACAAAACAACGACGAATTAGCTTAGTCTCTTGTACATCTTACAAGCGTGCCTTTTTTCAATACGCGCGTTATATGATCGACATGCCAGCAATAGACATACATAGCAATGATTTACAATTTCGGGTTTGTATATCTCGGATGACGATTATTATCATGCACAAAAATTTATTATTGGAAAAAGCAATTATCATATGTGATCAATTAAATATGACATCGTTCCCCTGAGGCCCATTATAATGTGATTTATATATGCTATTAGACGCATTAAGATAAAGCTCGATAATTAACTTTACCTTTTACTTTACGCTTGAGAATAGGGCGTTTCTTTAATGCTCTAGTCTTATGCACATGTGTAACTTCTATTTCCGAACTAGATGTGGAAGAATTACTTGAATCGCTGTCTGAAGTGTCTGAATTAGAAGAAGCATCCGTGGAATATTTGACCTTATTTTTCTTACTCTTATTTTTGGGAACATCGTCATTCGATCTTCTGGGTGTTGGAGATACAGTAGGTATGTTGCAAAATATTCCGTGATGTCTCTTTCGGTGCTTATTATTACAAAACAATGACCCTTCAAGTCTATCTTCGATATTTGAGAGAATTTTATTAATTATATTTATAACCTCCTCTTGAGCTAGACCAGGTTTAGATTCCGTTGATTTAGATAAATTATTTTTAGTGGAGCTGGCTTTGTTAAAATCCCCATCAATTAACGGGATGCTCATACCATCTATTACAATTTTAGCATGGCGGACACAGGTTTTGGGAGAATGTCCAAAGCTTATTTTTGCTTCACGCATCCATAACCAATCTTGCCCCAACACTAGATCGAATGACGGATTTTTGCGAATTTGAAAGTCTATTAGTTCAGTATCACCTAAGCTTTGCCACTTTCTTTTAATGCAAAACTGTAAATCTAAGCCTTTTATTTCTTCACCTATCAGATCATCACCAACTACACCTTTTAATCCGTGATCAGATTCAAGCTTATCGAACAAGTGTTTGCTAATAGTATTAGATTTAGATGTTGTATCTATTAACGCTTTGACTGGAATTTTTCCTTCTATTAGAGTTTCTACAATCATGTTACGTATATTTAATGATGTATATTATGAGCAGAAAAATAATTATTATCTATTCTGAATTTTACTTCGTATTAATAAATAATAGCAAAGCTAGTGTCAAGACACATATTATGACATCGACAACGACTAAAACTACTATTGATTCTGATGTTGACTTCTCAACTATAATTGAAGGATTTGCTAGATTAAAAATTAATGGGGGTAACCACGAATCTCAGAATACCAATAGAGCAGTATCTGGTATTGTTAGGCAAGTATCGGGTAAAAAATCCAGATTTCTCTCTGCCAATTACTGGAGATAGTAAGACCCGAGATTCAGCAAGATATTATAAACTCAATAGCAAACCCAAGTATTGCTAAAAAACAATGTGTCATATCTGTAAAAAAGAAAAAGCGCATTCATAATTATTCCTCGTCTTCATCCTCAACTGAATCAGGCTCTGAATATTCTAGCATCGATGAGAATGAAATACGTACACAAGTTCTCGAAGCAAAGAAGAGTAATTAGTTATCGTCATAGATTTGGAAAGGTCTTGCCTTCTCAGCACTAAACCCACGAGGCCTGTAATTCACTATAACGTAATTCTGAACTGGAGAAGTGAAATTGGTAGGATTGTGCCGTAGACACTCCCCAGCAATTGTCATAATACGTCCTGGATTCTCAGCTTCATGCACTACAGCACCATAAACGGCCCCCATTTTACGCAAATATTTAGGAATTAAATTATAGTTTTTTAAGAATCTATTGAACCATTTAGTTCCTGGCTTACCTGGATCTCCCATCCGTCCAGAAGATATAGAATTCTGAATCCAAGTAAGCAGTTCCTTAGCTCGTTCTTGGTTCTTCTCTAATGATCTAAATTTTCGAGGAATATCTGGTTGTCCCCGATTCTTTGCATAACCAGTTACGCCGGCATCTGTAATACGTAAAGTTATGAGTTCAGCGGGACGTATACAAAGCATTATCATAACATCAGCAAGGGCTTGATAATCGGGTTGTATGGATATATCATAATCATCTAATCTTTCCTTGACCGATTCCAAAGTAAAATGATCAGGATAATCAATTCCAAGAGTCTCTTCAGCAATTTTTTGCCGGTCTCTTTGAATTTCATTAGCTTCTTTTGTAATATCAGTAATTTTTGAAGCCTCAATTATTTCAGGTGAGACACCAAGACTTCTTAGTTCTCTTCGGAGCCGGGAAAGACGTGATGAACCAGCATTAGCATTTTTTGCTGATAGGGCTAAGGCATAAGCTTCAGCTCTTACATCTCTAATAGTAAGTTTATCCCGTAAAATCCGTTGCGCCATCTCCCCAATAGTCTCCTCTATTCTTTTTGGGGGTTTGTTGGAAATCGCAATATTTAAGATTTTACCAGATACACTTTCACGATAGGTATTTTCACATTGGTCATTTTTCTGGATAGAGAATAAGTCATTCACTTGATCCTCACTAAACCCATATCTATTTTGCAAGATTCGTTTTGCTATCTCTCTAACGATCTCTTCTTCCAAATCTTTGGGAGGCGAAGCTATAGCTATTTTGCAACTGCCCTCGATAACATTTATAATCTTGCCTTTCCCGCTTCTCTGATTAGGTATCAATATACTTACCTGTTCATCGCTAAATTTAAAGCCATCCCGAAGACGTCTTCGTGCCTGATTTCTTTTTCTATCATCTGTGAGGTTTTTGAGAAACTCAGAGGTATATTGACTAAGTTCAGATATATCCATATTTGGGGTGAGTTTATATTTTTCAACGATTTTAGTTGCGATAGCTGACATAATTGAATGTTATAATAGGTCAGATAGTTTATGAACAATTCTTTAGGTTATATACACTATGAAATATATTTTTTCAAATCGAAATTAATTATCTCAGGTTGATATATGTATACCCAAAAATTGAATGGGTCGTGATTAATATAATTCTATCGGAAAATGGACATGAGTAAGGCACACGATCTATCAGATATGAAGTGCAATTTCTCCCGACATAAAGTTATGGAATCGATAGCTCTATTGCGGAGCAATGGCTCTTCGAGCCTACGTAATAAAATTGCTGAAAATATCGAAGGCATCAAAGAGGATATTGCTTTACTTAAAGAGATCCTAGAAAAAATAATTGATAAATGCCAAGCGCGTGATACACGTCAATGACTTGGATCAGGTCTGTCGATTTGAAATCCTTTTTCCTCTCACATACATGTTCGGAAAAAGAGAGTATATGTGATAAATTAAAAAGATAACCTATAATATCTGGCTTCGAGCAATTATTGCGAGAAGCCGGGAACATAACGAAAAAATTGCTACGCATGCAGTACATATAGCTTTGGGGGTGGGATCCCAGGCTAAATCAAATTACTAGATTTTTTTACTTCTACGCAAATAAATTCTGGTATGTTTCTGTACTTATGAGATATTTCCGATATATGTCGGGCCTGTTTTGTAATATTTCAGGTGGGGGTAATACTGCGGGCCTCCATATATTAAATAAGAAGGCTGTATGTTCGGGACAATCATAATCGATACATTCAGATATTTCTGAGTAATTCGATAAATCATTGACATGTCTATATCCATTGCGGATTAGTTTACGGAATGTTGGGCCGTTTGGGTCAATTAATCGACCAGTTAATAGGTTGAGTACTTTGTCTAGGTTTTGCATTTTTTATGTAATATATATAGGGCATAAAGAACACAGTTTCCGTAATAATTTAATCTGAAAATTTTCTATCGCCTATATGTAGGAGCAAAAAATCTCCCTATATCCAAGCCCCTACCTACGAAACTCACATATTCTCTCCTTATTAATCGGGCAATTTACCATAGATATCCATTTTCCTGGAGTATTGCTATGTTTTTTTCCCATTCTTCGTCATCATAAATACATGTATACGATCGGGGTTTACCATCATCTTCATACATCCGAAGCTTAATTTCCATGCATATCAATTTTTCTCGTCTGGATAGTTCCATTAACTCCTCTGGATCAAGACCATCTTGTCGTGCAAAATCGATCATCTCCGCGTCTGCCATCATTTTATCTCGGAATATCCTTACCAAATCCCTATCTTTTTCAGTTATAGTCATGAACTTATCGGGGTCCTCGCCATATTTAACTGCACATTCTCTTAAACGTACCTCCCTTTCTGCTCTGGTTGGAAGTGAAGAGGGTGATGCTTCCGGTTGGGAGGTGGCTTCTTCATTGCTGGATTTGGATTTATCGTTCACAGGTAAGTCGGGAGAGATCTCGGGCTCATTATCAACAGGTGTGTTGGAAGAGGAATCGAGTTCATCACCCACTGATGAGGCATAGCCTCGAATCTCTGATTCCTCGATAATTTCTGGAGATTTAGATTTATCGTCCACATCTTCTATATCCACGATCTCGGGAGACATGGATATATTGGTAGACTTGGATGACGAAGCAACTGAAAATTCCGGTTGATCTATTATTGAATCGAAGAGATCCTGGGTCATATTAGTGGTGGATGGAGCGGGAAATGTTTCCTTACCTTTTTTGTTGTGATCGGTGGTCGATGACTCGGCTATATTTTTTTCTGGTTGAGGGGTTGTGATTTCTGGGGTATTGAATATAGGGATATCTGTGGATGTGTCGGCGGATATCTCAGTTTGAGGTGGGTCAGCAAATTCCTCAATATCACCTACCGATTCACGTAACTTAGCTACGATTTTGGATCGATCAAGGATATATATATTTTCTCTCCTTCCATTAGTTCTTACTTGCTTTTTCTCAATCCCTATTGGTGGAAGAAAACCTCCAAATTTATTATTACTAATTCGATCCTCGCCATTATTCCCACACCAAGTGAGATAATCTTGATATAAATTTCCACTGATCGGTTTTTCGATTTGATTTTCAGACCATGATTGAATATGTTGTATTATAAAGCGAGTAGGGTTTGGAAGCTGTTTCATTATTGTATCTGTTTTCATTTTAGTACTGGGAATTTCTTGTGGGTCCCAATTTGAAAGATCACGGCTAAGAAGATATGACATGACTACTCCTGGTGCATCAGGATGTTCTAGTATTTTAGCCAAACGCTTGAAATATGGTATATTCCCTCTACAGCGTGGAGATACATCAAAACAAACTATACGAGCATCTCCTCCATCTATTTTGAGTGGGGCGTCCTGGTTACTTGTTACCATAAATGCGGAGTAATCTTTTAAATGAATAGGTTCAATACCTTTACGTTCTATAGACACTTTTGGATCCGTTATAAGGGATTTGAGATGTCCATTAAATCTATGCCATTCTCCACTAGACATACTGGTCTCATTCATAACTACCAACTTTTTACCTTGGATAAGACTGTTAAATTTTCCAAGAATTTTTCCTAGATCAGATGTGGCATAATAGAGATTTGGCCCTAAGACTTTATCACCAATAAAATCGACAATAATATTCTTTCCACATTGTTGAAGAGTAGACTTTAATACACAGATTGAACGAGGTTTCCTTTCTGGTTTTTGTACTAAAAATGACCACCAGTTCCAAATGTATTCATTAAGGTTTTGATCCCCATTACAGATTACATTGTTCACGTGCCAAAGGATAGGATTCATAATTTCTTTTTTAATTTCTGGTGCTGGTTTAGCTATAAATCCCAGGAAAAGATTGAAGAAATTCGTCTTTGGTGGAATTACATTTGGTGGATATGGAAGAAAGTTGATTTTGCGATAACGAATTAGACCTTTGGTAAATGCTCGATCTATTAATGATCTTAATTTTATTGATTCTCCTCCAAATTCGATTATATTAATCTCATAATTCGCAAGTTCTAGTTTGGGCACAAATTCAAAGGTACGCCCACCATCCTCGTCTTCATCTTCAACTTTAAATAACCAAAACTTCTTACCCCTATCAATACAAGCGATTGTTGCTTGGATAGCTTCGTAAACTTTATTACGGGTATATTTTTCTCCTGATGCGCACATGTCAAGTAAGTCGCCCCATACGAAATGATCATTTG